TATCAGCTTTAATTGTTCATTTAATCGCGCTTTTACTTAAATAAACGCAAGAACGGTTGAAAAAAAAAAGAACAGTTAATATCCAAGGAATATTCTCGTTTACATTCAGTAAATCAAAAGTCCTGTATTTCAAAAATAATGAGGCTATTTTTCAATATAATTCGCAACGTAAATACTGCATTGTTTCATATTTGATTGAAATTTTGAATGTTTCAAATTACTTGCAGCATTCACAAAGTTTTCCTTATCGATTCAGCGAGAGCTACTAAGATTAGCGAACTCCAAGAGCGTGACAATCGATGAATTGACCCGTGTCAAACACGACTCGATCATTACACGTCCCGGTGTCCCAAACTAATTTAGCGAGACACGCGAGTACACGTTGATCCGCAACTTCTACGAACACTCGAGAATCCACCGTGAACGTGCGCGTAGGTGTACGAATGGGAAAGAAGTGGTAAACGAGCAGGCAACAAGAGGCAGAACAATTCTTCCAGATAAAACGGAAGTCGACGATGGCTGCGCCGACGGCAACGGGGCCAGCAACGAAAGCGCGGGCGATGGATGGCTTTAGCTTCGGTTTCCTGACGAGGTTACCGAAGTTTCGTTCGCAGATTCAATTTTAGTTGGCGCGCCAGCCCGCGCCACCACCATCCGCGGCGCTCAATGCCACGTAGGTAGCTTACGGGGGTGGTTACCAGCCCTCCTTTCTATATTCACCCCCCGCGTCATCCAGCCGCACGGCCTCTTGCCAACTAACCGCTACGGGGCCACTTTATTCGGCTGCGCTTAAGTTTCCGCGTTTTCCACGCCTGCCTTTGATTGCGACTTGTTTCGATCTCGCATAGAGACTCCTCCTATAGTTAGAAGCGATATGCTCGTTATAGCTGATACATTATAACTCTAGCCTATAATTTACTAGTAAATTAGAAAGAAAGAGAGAGAGAGAGTTAAAAACTATATATCGCGAGAATAATTATCCATTGGCATTTATTTTGAAAAAGTAAAAAAAATACTATTTTATTCGAGTCAAGTGAAACATATATTAACGTTATATAATATCATTTGGCCAATTGTTATAAAAATTTCTCTGCATCGTGTAGAGATATTTTTTGGATATTATTATAATTAAATTGTAATAGTAATATCGATGTAACATATTATACATACGTGTATATAATCATTGTGCGTACATATTATTCGTTAACATAATGTAGATAATAAAACTCCGACCTTAAGCTCAATATTTCATTAAAATGAGTAAAAATACATAAAAATGAGAGATTGAATTTTTCTCTTTGTTATAAGCATTATTAACGATATTTTGTGCATTACTTTATGCTATGGTATTAATCCGAGTTTGCTCATCGTCGAAATAATTGACCGCAAATGTGTAGATGTTTTAATATGTAATGTAGTTGTTTGTAGTATTTAGTCGAGAATTGGAACCAGAAAGTAGATCAAAGCGTATATGAATTATTTGAAATACCGTTTTTCTCTGAGACCACTTTATTTTCCGACCTCGCATTACGTGTTTAAATAATTGTAGAAATATTTCATAATATCATTGTATCGTCCACGAATCAGAATTATGCTGCATTTTTAAATATCATATAATATGTTTTATTCCACGCTAATTTCTAAAATACAATAAAATATTATTGCGCAGAACTATGTAATTTTTACACGTATTATTTAAAAACATTTGACAATTTGGATTTAATTCAGAAAATTATATAAATAGTTTACGTACTTTTTATTTAAAAAATTCTGTTTATTCATATTTACATATGTATATTCAAAATTTATCTCCTTTACGTATAATTATTTGAAATATTATTTTTATAAGAAGTTAGAATTATAGCAGCAAATCGTCAAAAAACCTATAGATTGGTTTTGAGACATATTTTTATTGCTATGTGCTTCAAAATTTATAAATAAATTGATATAACGTGATGATGTCTATACAGTTTTAATTAAAATTTACGTATCAGTCTACAAATGTCAAGTCAGCTTCTCAGACGAAGGCAACGCATTCATATATTCTTGTGTATATTTTTGTACAGAAGGCTTTTCTCTTGTTTGCATATGTATGTTGGCCATTTTCACGAACAGAGGTCGAAGGCGTACAATTTTGCACAGTAAATTTCTGACAAGTTAAATTATAGGCGATTTTCGCGAATGCTGTTCTTGCAAAAGAAAAATTTTGGAAAAATATCATCTCAGCTAAACTGATCCATTATTATCGCGATATATTAGTTACGCGTCCAATACGATGCCTAACAATTTCATTGATCATAGGAAAACTGACCTTGTGCATTATCATGTTAAGATCTAAAAATATCGCAGGCAACTATACCCTTGGTTAAAGAATTGCCTGTAATCTCATAACTCAGAAAGATATTTTCCCAGACCACTTCGAATCACAAGTGATATTTTCTCACGTACTAAAACAATACGAATCATACACATGTTTATCTAAGGAGGAAAACACTGAAATAATAATGAATCGCCCTAAATAAAAAGAGACAATTGCAATTGTATAAAATGATTATTTTTTAAACATAAATTTGTCACACCGAATTGTAATAGAATTTCTTTTTATTTGAAATTAATCATTCTGTGAGCTATTTTTACACCTTCAACTTGAAGTAAGATAGAAACAATTTTAGAAATTGTCAAGATGTAATATTACAGCGCGACATTTGTTTTATCTTGACAAACACTTTTGTTTAAATCTGTGATATTCGACTCCTTTAAATTTAGGTTACGATTTAGTAAACGTCGATATTTGTGATAAATTCATGGCAGTAGGATCTATTCAAATGGATGACATTTCTATTTGGCACTACTTTGAGATATCAGCTACTTCTCGAGCGCGCGTTGTCTTTTTGCATGTGCATTAAGGAAAAACCGACCTCCTCTCAAGTATCCTTCCCCGAAAATACCGGAGTCATACTTCATTTTCTGCTGAGTTGGGCATAGAAATGGGTATTTTCCGATTCCAAACTCGACATGATAAATATGCAAATCGTGGTAACAGTTTGCTACAAACCTAGCACTGGATATTACAGCGATAACTCTCGTTTAAAACTTATCACTAAATAGAATATGTGTCTTATATATCGCGAAAATTTATATGCATTGCAAGTGACACTTACAAATTGTAGAAGAAAACTATTTCTCGCCAGCATGTTCCTCCATGTCAACCGAGTGTACGGCATATAGGTACATGATCGATACAATACACGTATATGTCAATATGCAAAGACATATACGTCAAAATCACAAACACACACATATATGTATATATATATATATATATATATATATATTTCTCTCTCTCTCTTTCTGTCTTTCTCCAAGATCGTTAATTACTTTCTCATAATCGTGGAAAAACATGACTAATCTGTCAGGCGACGTCGTGGAAATCTGGATGATTTAAAGGTAGACCGAAAAACTTCCGTCCGTCGTAATAGAATGAGGGTGAAAGCCAGTCGACTAACGACATTTTCGTAGCCCCCAAATGCGTCGCAAACGAATTGGAATCGCGTTGCAAAATTGATTATCAGTCTCTCCTCCGTGGAGATGGCCGGGAGTATACCACGGGGGTACTCACTTCGGGAATAACATTTGCCGTGCGGCGTAACGACTGATCCGTCTATTCCCAGTGGCAACGAAAACTCGTAAAACGGTACTTGGAAATTCGCTGCGCCAAGTTAAACTTGATGGAGACGGAGGGGTATGGCCGCGCGACTACCGCCCATGCCGCCGCGTTGCTCTACACTACCCGCCCAGTCGTACCGGATTCTGGTACAGTCGTGACCCAGAGGACCGAATAGCTGCCGGTCGTAGTCCACCGATGGGATGCGATGCGAAAAGTCGAGGCAGTACCTGTCGCGACCAAACAAGCGATCCGGGCGGAGAGAGCGGGTGGGGGGGGAGGGGGCCAGGGTACCGGGGGATGAAATGATATTGTTTTAGCCGGGAACGAGTCCGCCGTCGGTGCTTAGAACCCATTTTCCCGTAAAAACCGAGCGCGGTAATATCAAGCGGACTCGTACACTACTCCCTTGCACCCTCAAATGGCGCGCTATGTACAGAGGGAGATTGAGAGAACGAGAACGAGGGCGGGGGGGAGGGAGAGGAGGAAAGACATTGTCGCGAACAAAGAGTTCGAAATATTCGACGATACCTACGTATACGACTCCGAAGGGAACGAGGACAGCAATACTGCTGGCGACGCCGGGACACATAGAAGAAGCGTACCATCGCGGAAGTGGACGAAGTATGAATCGGAATCTTCTCTCCCTACCGAAATTCTTCTCTCCCTTTCTCCGCTGTCCGTTTCAGCGTGAAGTCTCGTAGTACACACGTGGAAAACCGCATGGGTCTGCGTGCATCTTGGCCGGCTGCCTCGAACGCTGGAGCAAAATCTGACCCCCTTTCACCGAGGGATAAATCTAAAATTTGGCATCAAAAAGACTCACCCGCGAAAGACGATTCGGGGAAAAAAGGCGCACGGCGAAATTCGATCGACGTTAAATGTGTATTATATTCGACGGAAAATGATCACACGAATAATATTTATTCGCCACCGTTTGCCGCAATAGAGCCATTTGTGTGACAGTGCATATTCGAACTGATGATATCTTTATTGCCAAAACTTTATTGTCTTTTTTTTAATTACATGACCTACATATAACATGCGAAACCACCGATCTTAATTTTAATGCCCGACTTTTTCACAAATTGAGAATCAATATTTTCTTAATTTGACAAATGACTGACGTTTATCACAATACTTTAGCATCAAATATTTCACACAATCGAAATCTTAAAAAAAAGTAACATTTTAAAGAATAAGATCAATTATATATCATTGTAATTTACTTAGCTATAATGGAAATCGACATATATATTACACAGAATGCCTGAATATATCAATAATATATAATTCGTATCTAATGAACGGAAAAAGAATAAAAAATTCTCCGTCACAAATCTTTTTTTCAAACTTATTACACAGACATCTTCGGGAAACATTTTTATACGAGTATAATTACAACCGAATGAACAAAGTGGTGCCGTGGTGCCTTGTCTGAAAACTGAGTGCGATCTTCTCTTATAAAATCCAAGAAAACTCATTATATATTCCTTGCACTCATTGTACATTTGTGCAACGTTACCTCGCAATGTTTTAAAACTCCTCTCTATAATGACGCAAAAAAACATTTATAAATTTTGGCAGCGTGACTGTAACAATATATCTCGTTCTCTTCCGCTGTTCGATAAAGGAGAGCACCTAATTGTGAATCATCCCGATCTCGAGCCTTTTCGCTATAGCAAGAAACACGTTGACTATGATTGCGCTAGTATCAGCATTAGTGGATGTTATGCGGGAGCTATGACTAGTAAGTTCCTTCTTATGTTTGCCTCCGTTAATGGTAGATGCTTCACCGACTAACAGGCGTCAAACTGGTATAGTATGTACTGTTGGCGCTTGGCTAGCTAGCTAGCTGGCTGGCTGGTTGGCTGGCTGGCTGGCTGGCTGGCTCGCTCGCTCGCTGGTTAACTGGCGTGGCGCTGGTTGGCCGGGTGACTAGAGCACTTCCTCGTACCCTACCCTCTATCCTATAAAGCAGCAGCTGTAAGCCGGATGCGGAAGTCGTGTTCGCCGGCCGGGTCGAGTTCTCGCGCCTCGAGATGCATGACCTACCGTAAATCGTTTCGTTCGACGTGCCTTCGAAATCGACTGCCCGAGTGACCAAGTGATGTACAGTAATAATAACGCCAGGATGCTTTGATTCATATTGCAAATCGAATCTCACTCGGCTCGTGATCCTTCCATTTTTCTAAACCTTGCAAAATTATTATCTCGAAATTATTTGTTCCCTCGCGTTTACCAAGTGGAATATTTTACTGATAATTTATTCAGAAACTTCCATTTTATGTATTTAAAATGATATAAGTCGTAGTTATTTAAAACCGTTTGAAAAATCTATAATGCAGGAGCAGCATTTGAAAAATATGTATTTACATCTACGCAAGCAATATGCTTTTTTATGCACACTTATATAGTATTCTATGCCATTTAAAGCGTTTAAAAATTTACCGTGCATATTTGTGCAATTCGTACATAAGTTACACGCTTTAATTGACGTTAATTGGCACAATATTATTATTGATAGGAATTTGTTTTATCAATATTTAGCATTCAATTTGTCGAAGCATCGTTAAACACATCTGAATTATTTTGTTGGAAAAACAAGTAGAAATGAGTCAATATTCGTTCCATTAGTTTAGCTTGAGTGTTATTGAACTGTTTCCTCTACTAATCGCATTTTGCATCAAAATCCATTTGACATTTCTGTTAAGGAGAGTATAATTGGAAGAATGTGTAATCTGAACTGTGATTTTTAACCTAACAAAAACCTCTGCTCATGTTGCTCTGTAGATTTTATCTACTGCTGCTGTGAACAGCGAAGAAATATTACGAGCGCGAAAACTATCGTCAGCGTGAAATTTGCTTTAATCGGGAGGTCGCGTGTCGCTCGAGGGTTGTTTGAAAGGACGAGCGTGGATAATGTATCTCTTCAAAGCCCGTTGCTTCCGCGCTGAAACGCGCCATCATTAGGCACGTTCACGTGCCGATATTTGAACATTCATTATTACCCTACGTGTCGCACCCCTCAATAGAACTATTTCATAAAGAGGTTTCAGAGATATTTCGCTTTTGTTACAATTGTGTAGGCGCAAAACCATTTGAAGATACATACCGTTTTTCAAATCACAATAAATGTTACAATTACTGCAAGCGCATTCAAAACCGTACTTTGATAATGCATTCTTTTGCAGAAACATTAAATAATTTAACTTGTTAATAAAATTGAGTAAAAAACTTTCTTCTCTAAAGGAAATCTTCACAGAATTTATATTTCTAAAATATAATTTTACTATAGATTTAAGCTGATAAATTGCATACATGACTTGTGCAAAATCTGCTGTTAAAACATTGTCGGAAAGCAATTTTGTATTGTTTCTACAATTTATTTGCAAAAATGTAATTCATAGATAAAAATTTAGTCATCAAAGTACAGTGTTTAACAATTTTAAATATTGGCAAAGAAAAAGTACCACAGGTACTATCAGTGTTTTACGTAATTACGCATGTATAATGAATGAATTCACTCACCGTTCGTTGTATCCTAACTCAGTACGTCTGCGTCAAATGTACCTAAAAAAATTAATATATACTTTAATTATCATTACGAATAATTGTTCATTTTATATACGTTGTTTACTATTATTTAATTGTTTCCATTTTGATAAAAACAAAAATTATATAAAATAAATTGTGTGAATAACTATTTAGAAATGTTAATTAATATTTATAATTCAAATTTTAATGAATGTTTTAATGCATATTTTAAAAAATATTTTCAAGAAATATTTAATAAACACACAATGCTGATGGTACATGTGCGCGTTATTATGTATATAGTTAAATAATGAACAAATAATTGTACTCATCAGCTAGGATATTGCAGTTTGCCTCGCCCGCTGCAGATTCCGCCTTGGATAGCTTCGCATCAGCTCCATCGAAGAATCGATGAATATCGGAAACCTGAACCGATATAGTTACGCGTGCACTATCGAACACGAGTCAACCAGACACTTTACTTCTGAAAATCACAAATTTACGTCACAAATTTGCCGCAACGTACAAAAAAAAAACTCGTATCACACAATGCGACACCATAAGTAATCGATTATTACTTTATACATTCTGCGCTTTTTTTTGTTCAACACTATACATTCAAAGTGAACAGATTAAACAGCGGCTGTCACGTGGAAATAATCAATAGTGCGAATACATACACAATAACAGTTTTATTTTACCCAATTAAAAACTGACGAGCTGAATTTTTCATATGCTATGTGTAATGAAAAGCATTTTGCATTTCTCTTGAATGAACATAGGCGATCATTTTCACATATCTATAACATCAAATCTATACTCGTTAAGTGAAATGATTGAAACGGTGTCAATCGCGAATACTTGCAGTACATAATCGTAATTGCGTTCCGCCAATCAGTGTAAACAGATTATAGTGAAGACAGATTTTGATGTCATACACGTTGATATTTGATGGAGCTACTGCGCAGCAGTCTGAGGCGGAATTTGCAGTAAATGGAGTAAACTGCAACACACTAACTGGTTGAGCACAATTATATATATTCTCTGCGATATTGTAATACCCGTTCCGATGTTAATAAAGTATCAGAAGTGCACGTTACATAATTTATCTATTCATGCGGTACTAACACTACTTTCGTATGTCTGTCTCGTTTTGTAAACGAAGAAGTGCGCGATACGGCGCCTACTTTATGCATGTTGTAAAAACTTGTCGGATAACGAATACAACACGGACGGTTACTGCAAGCGACGGATATTACATTCGCTGTAGTAACAGCCAAAGTGGTTGCTCGCATTAAGTGCGTTTTACGCTCGTGGATTTAAGAGAGCGGGTCGCGGTAGGCTGATCAATATGCTAATATTTTGATGCCTCCACTCCGCTCGACGAATTGAATTACGTTCTACGGGCGAAGATAGACGGAGAATATGAGGAGGAAACGGTAGGAAGAAAGAGCGCGAAATGAGGGGTGGGCGGTGGAACGAAGTGCTCGACGTTTGAAGAGATAGGTGTAGGTAGATACTACATAAGATACCACTTAATATTATGGCACATTCACCTAACGCGTTACCAATGTTACATGCCGCGAGAGAAAACAATGACGTGTACCGGTATACGCGACAGGAAATTCAATTTTTTGCAGTGTCGCAAGATGTATAGAATAAAAGTAATATTACGCTTTCCTGGAAACGCGCATCTCTTTTTATTTTGACGATGCGCGATAGAAATATGATTCGTAAAGGATGAATATATGTATGTGATTCTTTTCAGGTGAAATATATCGACGATAAATAATCTGTTAAAAATATGGGGACATGAAATATTATACATGAAAATTGTACGTCGCGTAAGCCTCTTTATTATTTACATACAGTTGATATGTTGTATAGTGAAAGATATCAAGGTCAGAAGTCTGAAAGTATCGACATATTTCTTCTTCAGCTGTGAGTATACAAGGACTAAAGCAGCGAACGTTGAAAGTTTCGAAATAGTTTGAATTATCCAGTAGGTGCTTTAAAACCACGACGTACCTTGCGGTTTAGCCTTTAATACAATGCTTGTCGCAAATATGTTCATAGAAAGATCTTGTAAACATACACATTTCTTTTAGAAACATCATATTTTAACATTAATGTACATTTTATTCGTTTTCATCCTTCAGAATCCTGCGTCACAACATTTAGTAGGCCTAGAATTTTAGAATTCACATTTTCTTTGCTGCGATATATCGAATTCTTATATTTTAAACAAAGAAATGGTCTAGAATTCTAAAGTATTGTAATATCATCACAGTAAAGTTCTAAGCTACTAAATGATATAAAATTCTAAGGCATAAAAATGAATAAAATGTACATTTTAACGTGTGATAAATACGATAATGAGTAATTAATTTATCAACAGTTGATTTTGTATATATATTTTTCTAATAACGATATAACACTTGTTTAAAACGATAGTTACGTAACGCTATCCATTTACAACATTTGAAAAGAATTTATAACACCGCGTTGAGATTATTTCCGTAAAGTTTTAAACTTCCTAGCTCTTAGAAATCTATGTCATATCTATATCATCCTCGCAATTAGTCGAGCAGCGTCTCCCGAGACAAGGACTTTTTTTCGCGATCACCCGCGAAATACAGCATTTTTATCTGATGCACGTAACCAAACTAAACGAAGATCGTCTAAGTCTATCGAAGTTATCCGATAGGTTAACGAGCAAAGTTTATTTGCGTATTTATTACTCTCTCTCTATGGAAGGCAAGATGCTATCTTCATACTGCATTACGGCAGACTTTGTACGAGGCTAACGCCTTTCTACCTCGTTATATGTTACAATGTCCTACGGATTGCAGATACACTTTTTGTCGCGTCTCTATTAAAAATGTCACGCCTCTACGTTGTAGCAGGCGTACCTGTATGTCGCGTCCTTTTCTCATGACTGCACCGATGATTCTTGAAGCTGTTGGACGAAGAAGTACTCTTACTTCGCTAATAATATCTCGTTCTCGCGGACGAAGTTACTCGCGTATCTGTTGTTCGGAAGTGTAATTTACTTTGCACGATCCTTGAAAGGGACATACAGATTCTCAATGAGAATCCACGGGAGATATCCGAAGTATTTACGACTTCTATAATATTCCACCTAAAATTTCATGGAAGCTTCGGAAACACGGAAGTTTGCTTGCCATTTAATTATGGCAGTAAATTCGGAGCAGCTAACATTACACTACACGTTCAAGCCCGAAAACTGTTTCCAAGACTTTCAAAATTTCCGAGCCGAACATTTCTAAATCCAAACGTGTTAATTTTAAATTGGCTCGACACTGACGCAGGCTTCAAAATAGAATCCGCTGCAAAATGAAACTGATGGAAATTCGATAGAACGAAAGATGACGCACGCTAGTGCCAACCTCTTTCGCGAGAATGAATTTGGAAGAGCAACTTATTAGATTAGGGCTGCCATATCCCAAACGTTGTAATAATCTAGCGGGGTAATAGAGCAGGATATCCATCTAGATAATCTCGATAGAGACCTACTTATCGAAGAGCACCGGATCCGTCGTAGACGATGAAACTAAGGAGAAGAGTTGTGCGAAGAAAGGACCGGAGGAGCGGAGGGGAAAGACAGGATGGGTTGCCTTTGGATAAGGGATGCTACTGGCGCATCGTATTACCTATCTAGCCATCTTCTGGTTTCCCTGAGACTGTAGGACGAACCGTATGCCACGCAAGTAAAGATGGTTCCCACTGTGTGATGCACTTAGTCACCACTCTCTCGATTTTCTCCGCTGGTCTGCTCTCTTTTACTTTCATTGCCGTTCTCATCTCAGCTTACTATTGCATTCGCGTGCGTGCAGCGAGATGTAAAGTCCGATTTCCTCCATGATCGTGCCCAATTACTTTTTTTTACTCTTAAATCGCAGTCGGACTTGGATAAAACACGTCGAGATTACATTTTCACACACACACACACACACACACACACACACACACACACACACACACACACACACACACACACAGACTACTCTATCTTGTACGCTAAATTTGTTCAATTATTTTTTCCACTCTAGTTGAACATGAATAAAGTATAAAAAAATAAATTTTTTTTGCAACATGCACCATTTTGTATAAATTTTTATTCTAACAATCGCAAAAGAGGAAAGGGCCACGTTGCAATATTATTATTTTATAAAATATAGTAAAAATACATTCATTTCAAAAATATTTAATAATAAATAAATGTTAGCTTACATATTAAGAAATAAAACCTAATAATAAAATATATATGCGTGTTTGAGTTGGTACGCAGAAAATACGCCGTTTTGAATTTTGATACTATCATTATCATTATTTCTCCGTCCTCGATTTTGTAGCTCGCGCAATTTACAATTTCCACTTGGAAACATTCGCGATCGCATCTAGATCGTCTTCTATCCTTACTTCAATGACTCGTCGTCAAGGAATGTTATATCTCCGGATCTTTAAAAAAGACTGCAAGCGATTTCGGAGAAATCTAAAATTCCAACCCGTATTCGGCACCGAACGACATACGTGTGGTGCCGAGCGATCTCGCTGGCGAGATTGCGAGCGGGGTCAGTAAGCGTAGCCAATCAGATTTACGAGCCGGGACATATCATGATCGCCTTTACGACAATTAGTCACCGTCATCCTTCTTCCACCTGACGCACCACAGCCGTGCGCAGTGATGGAAAAGTGGTAAAACTATTGTAAAAACTACCGGTGCGGTATCATGCCCCGTGCGTCGTTGACTTTGAAGTTCCACGTAACGACACGCCCTAATTTATACTGATTAGTTATCGCTGTTGGTAGAATGGAATTGCGGGATCCGGAAACTATCGGCGAGTTGAACCGTAAAATCGAGGAATTCGAAACCTACGCTTTGATCAATTCGGCGGAGTTAGATGTGAGTTACACATCCGTAGCTCGTGGAACTAATAAAACTTGGATAACGCACGATATTTATTATAAATTACAAGCGCATGATAATGTGCTATTGAACGTCTAAATTACTATTATATTTATTTGTTTATTTAAACGTTCGAATTAGATATCGGTGTTGAATAAATGATATTCTAGATAATTAATTGACCAATCCATCAAAATTTAAATCAAATATTGAAACAAACGTGCGTGTTTTAATACTTATTAATCATGCTATTAATTAATACCAATAGTAATAATGTTATTAATTAATTGTCATTTAATTTTATTCGCAACGCGGAAAAAGAAGAAATTATTGAGTCCAAGTTTTGCACCGTCTCTGCACACTTGACGTATTAAAACCTGCGTGTTATCATCCGGAACTTCTGTAATTACGAATCTCTTTTAATTCTAAAGTTAGACTTCCATAATTCCAAAGCAGACTTTCATAATTTAAAGAGAACTTATTTTTCAATAATTGTCCCTCGATAAACTTTTTATTTATAACGTTTCTAAAGAGCACAAACAACACGCGTACATCTAAGCCATTCTATATCCACTATTGGTGTATATTATATTTGAAGAGGAGGGCGTCTCTTACCAACAATATACGTCACGTAGGTCTTTCTTGATTCTCCCCAAGTCCGCTGCCCGCATTTCGCGATCAGAATGCCGTCCGCCGTGCCCATAGCCGGCAGAATTCCCATGCGTTTTTTCTCTGGTTAGCTCGAACGAACCAATCACCCACCCAGCTCTAGGGAGATGGTGGGTGATGGGCGAGGTGGTAGAAGCGGAGTAGTGAGTCGGGATCGATGGAGATAATGCCTATTACTCCTAATGCGAAACTCGCTCTTCTTCTATCTTTACCCCGTTCTATCTTCGATCCTGTACCCCGGTTGCCCCCTCGCCGCTCGATCGTTCCGTTCTCGTGGCGGCCCCTCACAATCTGTAACCAATGCTCAATTACCATCTCCACTGATTCCGTTTTCGACGTCTTCCTCACTCGTTGTCATCGTCATTGATAGGAATTTCGTGATTTAAACGCGGCGTGCCGTTAACCTTGGCGATAAAAGAATTGTGCGATAATAATAGTATTATTAACTAAAAATAAAGCAAGAAAGAGGATTTTCGGCGAATGGGAATATTGTGAGAGACTGACACGAATAATTTACGCAAGTTTTTCCAGGCACAATTAAAAGTAAACGTAATACTCTTTCTGCAATTTATTACAATACATTTTTGTAACTATTTTGTTTATCTCGAGCAATCTGTACAATCATCATTCGGTGAGAATTCATCCTGATTACATCGGAACTTGAGTCGACGATAAATTGTCGCTTAATGTAAAGGGTCCCTTATTTAATTTGGACTATCGTTTAACTCGGACAGGAAGTAAGCCCCGCCGCCTTTCTCTAATTTCGTCGGCGCCAACTTTTTCCATTTACTTTTACTTTTCCAATCGTCTCTCGTTCACCTTAAAAAAAAAAAACGGGGGTAAATATTACAGAAACAAAACGAAATCGCGTTGAATACACCGTAGCAGTAAGTTCTGTGGGCGCAGTAACCTGTTGAGTGTATTCGCGTAAGTGGTGAGTAGTGGATACGTATACGTGCGAAAGTCTCGGGATGAAGTTTCTGGAGGAAATACAGGCGAGAGACACCACGCTCGTGAGAATTGTAACATACGAACGGCGAGTGTATTCGTACCTAAGAATCCGAGAACAATACATCCGCAGAGCTATGCGAGCGGCCTTGTAACGACTTCGAAAGACGTTTATGCAATCCGATATGAAAGAAGCGCCCCGACCTCGGAGTGCAACTGGTGGTAAAAAGGGGATAAAAAATATATGCAGCCGAAGAAATATTTTTGAACGCCGGGCGGAAAGAACAGATAGAATTATATAGTTTTTATCCGCTATTGAAATCCATCAAACTTTTCTGTCGGGAAATTTTCCTTGCATTAAGAGTCGGTTAGTTCTTAGACGGTGAAATCGTTTCTGTATAAATAAAAAGTACTTGTACTACTTAAAAAATTTTCCTACAAGCAGTTAATATTTCCTCGCAGAAAGAAAGGACATAATAAGATCAATAATAGTAATGATATTTTGTTTACGAGTTCTTGAATATCAATCAGATCACGAAACGTATTAGCAGACTTTCCGATTCTTCATCGTGCCATTATAGTGCGTCGATTGTGAAAGCGATTGTCTTGTTAACCACTCAAGGGTGTCGGTTGTGACTGGCAATATAATCAACTTTAACCATTAGCCTATATTCACCATCTGCCTTCCAAGCCGATAAATGCATCTATGACATTAATTCGTGGTTTCATAGTCTTTCTAACGATCATTTGGCAATTAAATGCACTGTAATGCGAAGTGGCTCTCGAAAGTTTCGAGATACCGCGCTGATATCGATTCTAGATAATAGATATTAAAGATTGTTTTACGATCAGCTTAGTGTGAGGACGGTGTAAACGTTCCGCATACATTAAATCGTTAAAGTCTGATGTAGCAAGAACGATAATCCCCGCGTACTCGAAAGTGTTTTCATCCATCATCCACATTTGCACGCGCTGGCCGGTTATGTGATTTTATATTTTTGTCGAAAAACAGTGATCCCGCCTACATTTATCCGATTGCTTCGTTTAAATATCTTTTGTGCACGCTACGCACGAATGTTCTGATCACGTCTATATATTTCGCGATCATAAATTACATCAACTCGCTAACGGCACGCTTTGAAATTAGCGTTGTAACGTGGTCGAGCGTTGCACCAGGGAATAACAATGTCCCCGACTCGCATACGCACGTGTATTTATACCGGGCATTGTGTGCATCTAATTTCGGAACAATGTCAACGTCATTTCCGTTTTCATTTAATCCGCTGATGACTATATGAAATGTTTGGACATTACAGATCATATTAATCACTATGCATTTGTGATCACAGCAAAATATCATATCTCTGCGAGCGGGGATGGCGTATTTCAAACATTGCAATTGACTGAAATAATGTTTTTATAAGAGTTCCTGCATATAGCATATATATACAATATATGTATATCCTCTTTCCATATTCTTTCCGTATAAATTTCACACTCGTGTTTTAACAATAAGTACACGAAGACAACTATTATGTTTCCACCTCGGAAGCTCACCAAACTGAATAATGCGTTTTGTGCGAGTTAATATAAACCAATTTACATCCATGAGAAGGACTTAGCGCTTGCTCCGCGCGCATCGCCGCTCGTAATCGTGTGTCGTAGACAGTTGAAGATACGATTCGCGGTGTCCTGGTGAAATTAGCGCTTGTGGTCAAACGTTTCGCGACGGAAATAACAATGTGCGTCCGCGCCCGATGCACCAACAATCGCGCTTGCTCTGCGGAGCGACCGTGTATCGGTATATGTGGCGTGGCATTGTGTCGACCGTTAAGCATTTGATACGGCCACCTTCCTGTCGCGCGTCCCGTCGGTGCCATTGTCGCCGGTACGCTCGCGTTGTAACCGAGCCGCGTCGTTTCTCCGTGTGCGATACGATACGTCCGTCGCCTGTACAACCACCAGCAACGAGTGTGTGACGCACGTACGAAGAGCTGCACTTAGGCCGGCGTGCATACTGAAGTGACCACATGAGAACGGAGCGACAAGCCCGACGAAAGCGGACGTGCGTGTGGAGTCGAGATATGATAAAATGTAAAAACGAGATAAGGAAAAATATATAAGCGATGTGGGACAGAATTGAATCACGAGTGTGTCGCGAAACACAGCGGAATATAAATACTTGGTGAGCACTATCGATTCTAGGCTGAAACTCGCAAGAATGATAGAATGCTCTCGTTGCATTATTGCACTTAAATTATGCGAAAATTTGCAGGATATTGAAAGTATTAAATTTAGACTAGATTCAAAATGACATTGTTATTTTGAATTGAATATACGCGCATTAATAAAGAAAATGAGGACGGACAGGTCAATTGAAAAATTAATTAAACGTATATCGATAATATTTTCTTCCCTCATTTATTCATATTTCGGCACATAATTTTTTCATTTATCCATATAAACAGCCTCGGAATTACAAGGCTTTTGTGCACTACGAAGAAAGAATTTTTTGTTCACAACTGCATATTATAAGATAGAAAAGTTTTTATTAGAAAACTTTGTAGTTTGCAATTGTCGTCCTACATTTACAAGTATTCAACAATAACACGTGAAAGGGTTAAAAAAAAGTTGACCTATATTGAGACCTATATAAAGTTAAGTAATAAAATATAGACGCGCTGTGTAGTCTATTATTATTTCACTCCGACGGTGATGTTTCTGCAATTGGAACGATGCTTGATGAGAGCCGTTCGCACTTTCGTACATTTACATTCTTATTTCTTGTTATTACTCGAAAGAAAGAGGAAGACTCGAAACGTATATATATATATATATATGCCTGCGCTTTATAATTATTTTGCCAGTGCCTCTTGTGTTTGCACACGGCCTTATGCATATAATGCAAAAGCGATAAGAGCGAATATGTCTCGCGGGGCCCGACAGCTACCGCTCACGGTCGCCTACGCAGTACTCTTTTGACCGTTCTCGCAACGCGAATGAATCGACGAAATCTCGTTAGTCGCTGGTCTCATTACAAGTCTCACGAGTGCGCGTGTGAAATACACACTGTATATCCGACTTTCACGCGTTCCGACCGCGAACCGTCGCAGTTCCACCCGATAGATAATCGATTCCGATAATTGCGCGGCGTGATAGCTCAAGCATGACCGTACGACGATGCCTATTGTTTGCAGGAGCGCCGGTTTCAGTTGGTAATGATCAGCATACGGCGCGTGTGGATCCGGGCGATGATGACCATTTGGATAGAGTGAGCGCGACGGGAGAATGCATAGGGAATGCGCATAGAACGCATCCGCATAACCGGATATGAACGTATTAATTATTGAAGACGGAACGGACGGCCGGACCGTGGCAGATGTAAAAACGGTGAAGCAAACAGCCGGCAACTCGTGCATTATTTTGGGACTGCAATTACATTTTTTATACGGCAATCCGATGTTGCGTCTGTCCGGTGCGCAACAGTTGTACGCACCACAAAACGCATTTACTATTCGGATCGGATTAATATTGCCCGGTTCTGCCTTGGATATAACACACATCAAAGTAAAAACAAAACCGCTTTGTTGTCAAAGGGCTAACGGAATAAAATATCGTTTCCCTGCAAAATATCGTAATTTCAGATAACGGCGATTATTGTTCCAAAATTGTGCGCGCGTTATTACATTTGGTTTCAATAGACTCTTCAAGCTTTTTATTGCTGTATTTTATTATGTATTTTTGATCACGCATTTACAACTCTCGAAACATATTAAAATTGTGCTTTTACAGCAATATATTGCGCTGCAATTTGTGGACTTAATTGTGCACCGTGATGAAAATTCGGGTCCGTTTTAAGAACATAGATTATTTCGATATTTCACGGTGTGATTGTACATCACTTCAGAGTTAAATACGGTGAATCGCAAAGTATATGTTCGAATAACTTTAGGCCTTTTCTTCTGGCGCGCATATTCTCCACGTATGATAGATAGTAGTAACATTTGTAATCTTTTGACAATTTTGGGGAGTAAACAAAGCGATTTGCGCGTATGAAATATATAGGCAACGCGTATAAGTAACATTAACAAATGCAAGGCGGCGTTAACAAATATGCGGATTTATAGACGGTAGCGTTTGGCCTACCGCCAAGCTACTTAAAATTTGAACAATACATTGTAACGCCTCGAAAATCAATACAGACGATTCTCATAATTCTGCATGAGCCGTGCATCATAATTCTAGCGCCTGCAACTCTCGGCAACGAGATAAAATGGGATTAAATTTATAAAGACGTTAATATGAAATTACATCGTAACGAAGTAAGCACATTAGCCAGCTTC